AACTTATTAAAACTTATTAAGACCATATTAAAACATATTAATTCAACTTATTTAAATCTTATTAAGATTTAATTAAATTATATAAATTGGACTTTAATTAAAATTTAATAAGAACTTATTAAATTTAAATAAGTTTATAATATAAACTATATTAAAAATATATATTTATTTATAAGGTTATATAAAGACTTTATAAATTCTTTATATGAATTTTGATGAATCTTTATAAAGAACTTATAAGACTTTTATTTAGAATATATAAATTTTTTTTTCACGGGAAATCTATATAAAAACTGTCAGCGATTAAACAGATTTTGGATCTAGTCACATTTTAGTGAGATGTCTCAATCACGTTTAAGTGGGCTTGCAATTTTAAGCATAGAACATGAATTGGCGAGTAAACTCGATTTGGATCAGGTGGTCAATGAGTTTGCTAAAGCTAAAAATCGTTGCGGATTGCTGAGTTTGTAATATATTAGATTTGCTTTAAACTGCAAATTTCTGCAAATTTAATTAAATCACGTAATATTTATATTTCCATATATCTACATGATTTAACCTTGTATCATATAATCATACGTATGCATAAATGTACAATTTTAACGTATCGAATCTGTAATATTTACCTTATCCTAGCCTCCCTTCATGCGCATTTTAACTCTATTTTTTATAGATTTATTTTTACCTCTTAACTGTAACAAAATGAAATTGATTTTACAATATTTAAGAGACATAGTTAATAAAAAATGGTAAAGAAAGTTGTGAGTTATAAAACTTTTTTACTTTTTGCCAAGATGAAAATGTGAAGTATTGAGACGTGGACCAAGGGCGCCTGAAAAATTTTGCGGGGGGGCGCACATACACTCAGTTACGCCACTGTCTGTAGAGTTTCTGGGCCACAAAATCGACGCGCAAGGTATACACAAGGCTGATAAACACATTGAGGCTATTAAAGATGCGCCGAAATCTTCGACCCGAGAGGATCTCCAATTATTTCTTGAGAAAGCTACGTACTATAATGCATTCATCCCAAGCCTTGCGACGAAAGCTCGACCTCTTCGGAATATGCTTCTTCAGGAGCCTTTGCGATGGACACCTGCTGCAGAGAAAGCTTTCAAGGACATAAAGGAAACATTAATATCTCCTCAAGTCTTGATGTCTTACGATCCATCGCTGCCTCTACTCTTGGCGACCGATGCCAGTAAAACAGGTCTAGGGGCTGTATTATTTCACCGATTGAGGAACGGTCAAGAGCGACCAATAGCATACGCTAGTCATACAATGACGACGACAGAACAGAAATACCCCCAAATCGATAAGGAGGCGTTCGCCATTGTCCGGGCGGTACAGAAATTTGTTCATTACCTCTACGCGCGCCATTGGACTCTGATCATAAATCATAAGCCTAACTCAAATTCTTCATCCAGAGAAGTCTATGCCGGTTCTGTGTATCAGCAGGATGGCTAATAACTACGCGGACTACCTCGCACACTTCGATTTTAACGTGATCTTCAAACCCACAAAAGAGAATAAGAAACGCAGATTATTGCTCAAGAGTTCCATTACCGTCGACGATAAATGCTATCCAATTTGCTTCGCCACAAAAGGAAGAAAGGGTTGAAAGAGATGGATTCAATTACTTTATCATGAACCAAATTGCACAGTTGCCAGTGGAGGCAAAACGAATCCCACAGGAAACCAAGAAGGATCCCGATCTGGGGAAAATCGTCAAGTTATTGGAAGCAAGGCAGAGTCTCGAACGCGCCGGTTACCGATCCCCAGAGTCCACCTACAAATTGGCTTCTGATTGCTTGATATTCGAGCACCGTGTGGTAATACCATTATCACGGCGAGAAGTAATACTTATAAAGATCTTCACACCGCACACCTTGATATTGTTAAGATGAAGGGCACGCTCATTTGTCTACTAGCCAGGCATTGATGCGGAGATTGAACGGCGAAAGCGTGTGAGGAGTGCGCCAGGCATGCACACGCTCCCCCAATTTTCCTCCCAAAATTTTGCCAACATCATTGAGGCTACCCTAGAGGTCTCTGGGAACGCATCCACATTGATTACGCAGGTCCCATAGCGGAAATGATGCTACTGATCATCTCTGATGCATTCAGTAAATGATTGGAAGTCAAGGTGACCAGTTCGATGACTGCGTCGCGTCGGCGACAATCACCATACTCGATGAGCTATTCACGTCCTACGGTGTTCCTTCTATTGTGGTCTCAGACAATGGGACACAATTCACGTCGACTGAATTTCAGTCCTTCCTTCGAGTTAGTGGCGTTAAGTACCACAAAATAACGGCGTCATATCAACCCTCCACCAACGGGCAAACCGAGCGGAGTGTGCAGACAGTGAAGAACGCCCTTCGCGCTATGGGGACCTCGCGGAGCACTCTGCAAGAGAACCTGAATAAGTTTCTCCGCCATTATCGGATCGCACCTCATATGACAACGAGATCGTCGCCCTCTCAGCTTTTCCTGGGCCAAACGCTGCGAACACGATTCAATTTGGTGCGACCTGACGATGTATTTACAAAAGTTAGGGAAACATCAGGATAGACAAATGGATCAGAGGTATTATACAATCACGACTCATTTGGGACAGCTGCACTATGAGATTGATTACAAAGGAAAACAATTCAAACGTCACGTGGACCAGATTCGAGCGTATCAGGAAGATCAAACGACGGAACCGACTAATAACTGCCCTGCACCGTCTACCGACGAAGTTATAGAACGCACTCGTCGCGATTTTATCCAGATAGAACTGTTGCTATGGAAGCCCGTCTACCAAAATATCAGGAAACGTTTGCTTCTCCGTATCCGTGCCAAAGAGCTCCAAATGTATCCCAGACGAAAATCAGGCCTCCAGCTCCAGGCACTCCGCCTCAAACGACTGCGGCGCCTGGGGAAAGCGTCACTCCAAGTAGAGCCCTTCCACCTTCAATTTGTTCCCGCAGGTCGTCGCGAAATCGTCATCCGTCAAACAGGTTTTCTCCAAGCCATTAATATTAATTTCTTTTATCGGGAGGAGGAAATGTTATGTTTGAACCAACCGCTATGAGTGAGTGCAACCAGCCAATCAGGCACAGACACCGCTTGGTGGCGTATTCGCTTGTGTTGTTCACGCTACTAAGTTCTTCTCCCCTATTCTTTTTAAGTTAGTCTTCCATTACACTTCCTTATCTATGTATTACTTGCTTGTGTGTTAATAAAAACAGTAACGAAATTCATACCGACGCTAACAGTACCAGTCTGTTTATTATCTCCTATAAAATTGCAAACATAACAATTTTCCAAGTTTAATAATATATTACCAGGAAAAGTAACTGATAGATTATTCAAGGTTCAAATTCAAAATGAACATACATACATAAGTAAAACAGGTTACAATTTGAATATTACAGTTTTCTAGAAAATAACTGCAATATGTTCTTCTTAGTGCACAAAATATAAAAGTCGGTTATTGAGATTTCATTTGAAATTTATACTAGACTGTATAATGAAAAATAATTGCTTGTAATTTCAAAGTATAATTTGTTAATGATTTGAAAAAGAACATGGCGGCCTGCTTTTAAAAAACTTCCGATGGATAAAATAGATAGTTGAAATAAAAGTTATGAAAATGGTTTAGATTAAAAGCAGCCTATCAAGTAACTGTCGTAGTTATCAAATATGTTGTTTATCATTTGGTTCACAAAGTGCAAGTACAAAATGTAACAGTGTTTCGACAATGATTGATTTAAATATTCGCATTAACCTAGACATCGATTGGCAGAATTTAAAATCAAAGAAAAAGGCTAGATTTCTACATAATGTTGTGTATTCACCTCGTTATAGAGATTTTAAAGGTACGGTTTTAATACAATACTTTTTATACTTCTTGTGTTGTCATATCTACTCTGTAAATGTTTCAACATTACTTCTAGTATCATAAAAATGAAAAGTTCAAGCCATGTTCACAAACAAGAATAATCAAAAATTTATACTTTTTATCTAATAATAATATATTATCATGAAAAGTAACTGATATATTATTAATTAAAGGTGCCAGTATATACAAAGTGAACATACATAAAGTGTATGTAACTTTCGGCCGATTTTCGAACCACCTTCTGCTGTCCTCCTCATTTCAAATACTGTTATTTCTACGGATAAAATTTTATAGTTTAAACAGTTTAAATTTGACAAGTGTTAAGGCCATGGTACACAAAAAACTTAAGACAGTAAGACGTAAACAGTAAGCGAATTGACCAATCATAGTAGAGGCCATAACTTAAGCAGTAGCAAATCCACAACTTTATTTCCTTACTACTTACGTCTTACTGTCTTAAGTTTTTTGTATGCCATGACGCTTAAAACCCAAATGTTGTTCTTCATCTTTGATGTATCATTTAAATATTATTTTTAAAAATGCAAGTGGAACTATTTTTTAACCAAATTAAAAAGTAAAATTAAATGATATTATCTTTAAAAAATGTAAGCGGTACTATCCTTACCATTTACTTCTAATAACATGTATTATTTGTACAATTTCACCAACGCCAATTACTTAATCGTATATAACTTACTTTTTTTTAAAAAGAAAGGTAAAAAAAAAGCGCTAAGAGTGCATGCTCTGGTAAAAAATCATTTGGGTCAGATTCACCAACACCAATTCCTTAATTGACTGACTAATCACATTTGCTGTTTAGTAGAATATTTAAGACGGTCTTAAAATAAAAATGGACTATGAATGACATATGTCTTTGTATAAAAGATTTCATATCAACAGTAGGCGCCAAGTTAAATTCTATATTCTTCCAAATTAAAAAGTAAAACACAAGTGGTAAAATCTTCAAAAACCCATGTAATACTATTGTCACGAGTGCTAATTGCACAAGTGACCATTGCGCCATAACCGGACAAAGAAATAAAAATAATATAAATTAATAACGAGGAAATAAAAGTAAAATAAATTCATAATGAGAAAATAAAAGTATTTAAGTAATATAAATTAATAATAAAATATCAACGCGTCTCGATTGCGCGACCAATTACCGGAATGCGATTAGAAAGATGACCCAAACGCTTCCTTGTCAACGCGAACAAGAAAGTGCTGAATAAGCAAAGCCACAGGCCTCAATAATATAAAAACGAGATCACCTACGTTGCGTGGAGTCAGATCAATTACAGAAATTAAGAGTGTTACTCTGTCCGCCGTAATAACCAAGTTGCACGACACGCGTAGTGTAAAAAGGATTGTAAAAGAAATCGCGACGATTCAAGAATCGAATAAACTTTATTTTTCTTTAACAAAAGTGTTAAATTTAATCACGGCTCCCGAATCATCGGTGAATCCCGAACCCTGTGCCAACAAAAGCGGCACAACACTATTCATATTAAATTCAACTAAATTAAAAAGTAAAACCCATGAGGTACTATCTTTATCTTCATATACAATGAAACCTAAGTATATGTCTTTGTATTCTTATTGAAAGATCTTATTCTAATCTAAGTAGTTTAACTCTTCTTTAAAAAAAATTATATCACAATTAATTTAAACACGTTTATTCTTCCAACCAAAGTTGTAGTAATCAGTTAATTAAACTTCTTTTTTAAACATTACTATCGCAATATTGCATTACTTTATTCATTTCAGTGCCAAGTGTTACCATAAAAAATTAAAGAAATAACAGTACAAAATGAAAAAAATTAATTTATGTAAAAAAAATTTGTATGTAATAACACTTGGCACTACTAGATCAAATAAGAAAAACTATGAAAACTATCTAAAACTTATAATTATTACAATAAAAATAGATTTAAAAAAAAGGTAAATACACAACGCAACAAAATCATCGCAACAAAATTTTTCATCGAAATTTTGCCATTCTTCAAATGCGCATAACTCGGTCAACTTTTATCGTATCAAGACGACATTTTTTTCATTTTGTAGGTAATTACCTGTACTTTAAGAAAAACTTGATACGAAATTAGTGCAAGTCGATGCCGCATCTCTATGTTTTAATAAAGCCCAAGCATTTTTTTTCTTAAAAAATTTGATTGTTTGACGCGCTACCTGGATCGCCTCGATTTTTTTTTCAGAAATACCACATAGATCATCGTAAAGTGTACTTTTCAACAATTTGAAAAAAAAATTCGAGTCTCTATGATTTTTTTTGACCGAGTATTGCCATTTTTTGTGCACTAAGCATAACATATCGCAGTTATTTTCTAGAAAATTGTAATATGCAAATTGTAATGCTTTACTTATTATATATATGTATGTATGTTCCTTTTGATTACTAAATTTGGATAACATACACTCTTTTTATATGTTCACTTTGAACTGGCACCTTTAATAATATAACAGTTACTTTTCATGGTACTTTATTATTGGAGGAATAAATGTGTTTGAATTAATTTTGACATATTTTTAAAAAAGAATTAATATACTTGGGTTGGAATAGGAAGATCTTTCAATAATTCTTTTTGTAAAGAAGATTTAAACCATTTGGATTTAAATAGGAAGAACTTTCAATAAGAATATAAAGACATATATGGTACTTAGGTTTCATTGTATATGAAGATAAAGATAATACTACATGGGTTTTACTATTTAATTAATTAGGTTTTAATAAGAATGGTACCACATGCGTTTTAAAGACATTATTAGAATTTAACTTGGCGCTGACTATTGGTATCATATCTTTTATACAAATGATACATGTCATTAGAATTAAGTAAGTGTAAGGATAGTACCTCTTAGGTTTTTCAAGATAGTAGAATTTAACTTGGCGCCGACTATTGATATCAGATTTTTAATACAAAAAATATGTCATTATATGAAGATAAAGATAGTACTACACGGGTTTTACTATTTATTTTTTTTTTAAGAATTAAACCATTTGGATTGAAATAGAAAGATCTTTCAATAAGAATAAGAACTACATGGGTTTTACTATTTAATTTAGTAGAATTTAATAAGAATAGTACCACATGGGTTTTCAAAGATCTTTTATACAAATGATACGAGTTATTAGATCTAAGTTACATCTTGGTATACTAAATAGTAAATATGATTAGTCGGTTCTACAGCCGATTAAGTAATTGGCGTTGGTGAAACTGGCCCAAATGGTTTTTGATCAGCACCACCCACACTTAGCGCTTTTTTTACGTCTTTATTTAAAAAGGTAAGTTTATAAAGAATGGATTTTACTTTATAATTTAGTAGAATTTAAATAATAGCACTACATGGGTTTAAAGGTAGAATTTGATAACTTGGGATAACCAACTCTCAAAACCGAAAGTTCAAATAAAAATTAGAAATTTGACTGATGAAAGATTAAAGGTTTTTATTTAATAAGGATAACATCACGTAGGTTTTTAATAAAAAATTAATCTTGGCATACATAATGAGATATTCAAGTACACGTTCGAGTTATCTAAGTTACATCTTGGTCTGCTAAACAGCAAATATAATTAGTCGGTTCTAGAGCCGATTAAGTAATTGGCGTTGGTAAAACTGGCCCAAACGGTTTTTTTATCAAAACTACGCACTCTTAGCGAATGTTTTA